AATATCGATCGATTTCGAGCAAAAGCTGTGTACACCCGCTCTGCTTGTAATTAAGGACACGATAAACGACACACTGGAAATACATCTACTAAAGGTTTCCTGAGTCTCTTAAACCGAGTTCTGGTATTTGTTATGTTCTTTGGCCTATCTCAAAAAAATTTAGGGGCTCTGTTGTTGTTTCACAAAAGCCCTTTAAAACTAAACTAGTTAGAAAATTGTGATTCTCTTTTGAAAAGCCACACCAACCCCTATTATACCGTTTATTTCAAATTGTATTACCAGTATTTCCTTCAAGCTCTGACGCCAGCACCTACTTTCACATTGAAACTTCTAGTATTATTCGATTAGATCTTTAAATCTTAATCGGGAACCGGCTTTTTATACCTTCGTCTGGTTTCTTCGTGTGTCTATCGTCTATTACTACGTATTTTAGACGTTTCATTCCGCGTTCGCTATCATGAAGCCATCGGGGAAAAAAACATCGTCCTGCACGACAAAAAGCCGCCGTATTACATGGCTGACTAGATAAATTCAAAAGTATGGACTGAGCGAAATACAGCTTTGGGATTTGCCAAGAAAACGAGCATAGAGAGTCTGCAGAAGCCCAGCTGCAACACAGCATTTCGGTGGAAAGTCAAATAGAAAGCTCCTCTCGGCCTCTTGGGTGACCGACGGACGGGAGAACGGTTACAATCCATCTCAAGCCTAATCTCCTGTAAGGTTTTTAAATTCCCTTTCACTCGCGGTGGGACAAATTCAGAGATACGTTTCTCTTTAATTTCATCTTGAAATCCCATATTCTTTATGCACATCTAGAAACGTTATGAGTTTTCATTGAACGTGGAGCGTGACGAATTTATTCATAGAAGGCGTAGCGCTTCTCCTTTTTACAGAATCACGCGAGTATAATCTCTTGTCAGAATATAGCCGTTTCCCCGTCTAACAAATTTTTCTATTTGTCTTTGGTTCTCTTCCACAGACAGAAAACGTCTTTAATTCATTTCCTCTACCATAGCGATTTAGTTTTGCTGAGTGATCACACGCTGTTTATATTTTTGTCATGAAAATATTGGCAAAAGCTACTGCCGTTGTTTCGGTGTGTGCGAAAAAGTATCAAGTTCTCGGACAATAAAAATAAAACAATGGCGTAAAAAGCGCACTGGTTGAGCGTGGTCATTTAAGGTTTCTTCCCACCTTTACATGGCGAAAAATTCGTTTTTTCTTTTATTGGACAAGACTGAAGTTAGACATTTTACCTAACAACAACATCAACAACAAACGTTTACAAAAAGAAAAATTTTAAAATCTCAAAAAACCAGCTATGATAAAACTGCGGCGAAAAACCGTTGATCTCTCTAAAAAATCTTTTTTTGAATATCGTAACCGCCTTTCGCCATACATTTCTTTCTAGCGGGCTGCAATGTTTGCCCCGTGGCGATCCCAGAGATCCTTGCGCAAACGCAGAGGTCCGGTTACTGGCTACTCATTCATTTTATGTTATTTGCATAGTTTGTTTACATCGCGCACTTGACAAAATTCACACGTGAAAGTTCTCTGCTGGTGTGAAAGTCTTTTCTCATGGATAAAAAACACAAATCAAAATTAGAGAGGAGTCCGTGGGCAAAGAAAAAGAAAACAGGCCCAAAGAGGAGAGAAATGACCCCATTTCGTCAGGAAAACAAACCAGTCCTGGCATTCCTCTCCATGCTGGCTTCCAAATTACGAACAAAGAAGTCGCCATCAAATCTACATTTGTTATACACAAGGTTAAACACGAAGTTTCCTTTCCATAAGCAAGTACCAGCCTTGATACAAAACATGGGCAATCGCCTCAAATCTGTGTCAAAGTGTATCAGGAAGTTTTTAATTTTGAAATATTTTTCACGTTGTGTCCATTTACGCAACACGTTTCGCATAATTTACGTTACTCTAACTTTAGATGCGTATATCTAGACAGCCTATCAAAATATCGGAAGGGCTAAACACACTGTAGTTGATTGATGCCTTGTGAATAAGACTGCGCAGCCATTTTTCTCGTGCAGCGGGATCCGATACCCGGTAAATTCCGATCAGTAGAAGGACCTTCGGTCGTTGATACTCCCTACATTACAAATAACGCCCAAATTGTATTTTTATTGTAGACTGCATTTATTAAACTTTCTTTTGATGTATAGTTCGTTAGGGTTTTCTTGAAACTAGTGCGCGTACGATTTTTTCTCGAAGGACACCGGCCCGTGAAGGTGGGAAGTAACCTGAAAATCCTACCTGCATACGTACCTGTTTCACATGTGTGAATCGAATCACATGAGCAATTTTCATTTTTTATCCTGATTTCTGAGTAAAAACTGAATTTGCATACATTGATTTTTTTCGTTGAAAGTAAGTTCTGTAAATGGTCTTCTTTCACCGGAAATGATGATTTATAAAAATGAACTGGCCATTGTGTTTGCCGGATCTTTCGGTTCTTAAAAATGTTAACTTTTGCCTGGTCACGCGTTACACGTGTCAATGAAGCAATTTTGGGGCACCTATCTCGAACTGACTGCATACGGAGCTTAGGCCCCTCTCAAAAAAATAGCAGACAAGTACAATCACGCCAGATTCTAGAGTCACTGAACTGACTCGAACGCACTTTAAGCTTTGATAACCCGCTCTAGTTTATTTTCTAAAACCATAATGTTTTGTTAGAAAACCAAGACATTCCATTACCGAAGAATATACTCGCAATTGTATATATGAGCTTTATTCGATCTGAAATTAAATGTTCAATACAATCTTCTTGACTAAATAAACTAGTGGTAAGCAAAACAATCAAAGAGTGAAGCGAAAATAATTGATATAAAAGTTTCCAATAATCAAAATGGCATGCGGTCAAAAACCAGTCCACGTACAATAAGAGCTCATAGATTTTATATAAATCGAAAAAACTGAGTTGATTGACGATATTATTTACAAAGATTATGAACTTACTTCAATAGAGAGTTTTCTTAACTTTTCTGGATCGGGATAGCCGCACGCAGAGTAATACGTAACCAGTAGATCACTGCAACGAAAGGCGACTGACATTCTAGCAGCTGATTGGCGATATCAATATTGTAAGATTCAAACGTGCGTGACCTCTCACGTAGGCGTGTTACTCTTGTTTAAATTTTAACCCTTAATCTTCATGAGACTCGTTTGATTACACTTATAAGTTCTCGTTTTTCGATATATAGTATTTAAGTGTTGGTCACGGTCTTTGTTACGGCAAGTTCTTGTTTTAAATCATCGGTTAATGGGAGGAAATATCTGTAAGTCGTTAGTCCTTTTTTTGTTTTCATTTTTTTTGTTAATTTTCTTAGATCTATTACTAGAAGTTTCAATGTGAAAGTGGGTGCTGGCGTCAGAGCTTGAAAGAAATACTGAATCCACTGAGAAAAAGGCTTTGACTGTGAACGAGATCTAATGAATTTCACTTTAAAATCATCTCTTGGCTGGAGTCTACTAACACCTGTAAAACACTGTCGTAATTTTACAGGTGTACAGTTACAGCTTCTTTCAAGGTTAGAAATCCTAGTAAAACACCACCATTTTAATAGCAAAATGCCTTGAACAATAAATGAATAAAGGAAAGAACTGCTGCATAGAGAAACGCTACCCGAAATGTTAAAAGTTAAAAAAAAAACAAGTGATGGATGATTTGTTAACCAGAAAAGCAAAGGGGAGGGGGTGTTAGTCTTTTTGGCTTTGTATTTCTCACGACTCGCGATTATTCATTGAGTGACATCACCGAGGTCCCAAGCTCACGTCTCGAGGAAAAGCGGAGGATATCTCATAAAAGCGTCACGTGTTGTGTGACATGGTAGTAAATCACGCCAGCAACCATTGAGAATTTAAATGTGTTATAAGGAAGAGTAAGATGTTTTAGGCTTGCTTTGCCATCACTGTTTTTCGTCTGATAACAGGAAAAGCAATGATGGCAAAGCAAGCCCAAAACAGCAGAAATCGCCAAAATCCACATCGGACCCACAGAGTGAGTAAGTTTTATCAGTCTTACTTGTAAAATGTTCATATTTGGGAATATTTAGTGTTTTAAATGGACCACATTCCGTTCCCCATACTATTCCTTCGGACGCATTCAAATTCTCAACGGTTGCAGGCGTAACTAAACAGCGCGTCACACAACGCGTGACGCTTTCGTGAAATAATCCTTCGGTTTTAAGAAGTGAGCCTGGAATGCCTGTGGTGACATGGTTTCGACTCACTGCGCCTTATTTGGACCTCCGAAAACCTTAGCGTCTGCAAGTCATTCGATCGCTATCTACGTTTGGTGCGGTTTTAGTTGAAAACTCTCATCTAGTTGACTGATAATGCAAGTCAAGGTAAAAAATATTTGAGACTTTTTTCAAGAGGCAAAAATCTCTGAACGTGCGGCCAGCATTTTGTGTCGAGGCATACTGTCGTCCAGGTCTAATCGCTCGCTGCAATCGCTCATTCGTCTGTCGCTCCAGCTTTCCTTAGAAGAACAGAGGATGGAATATCCATCTCTAATACTCAGTTTAAACATTGCTAGGCATACCTTTTAAACGAAATCGGCAGAGAGACGTTCTCTTGATTCCTTCAGAACGGGAAAGTAGATAAATTACGACCACATCGAAACGATGCATGGACATGAAAATCTCTGGGAATTTACTGGGATTAGGATTGCTCAATATAATATCTTATTTCATCCATATTTGGTCCCTGGTGAGCAACTGGGTCAGTAGCATGAAATCTTCTGTGCAAAGTTAAAATATGTAGCTGGACCAAACGTTTTGATTTTCCCGTTATAGAGAGCATTCATATGTTGCTCTCGGTGGGGAGGAGAGAGAATCGGGTTCAGTTTGCAGGATTCCCTGCACCACCCGTGACACCTTCTACAGTTTTCATAGCATCAGCAATCTGGGATGTCACGCAGCATTCCTAATGTAACGAAGTCACTGATTTGAGTCGGANTAAAATTTCATGACGTCATTAGTATAAAGCGCTATTGATTATATAGTACTAAACTTTCAGCACTTAAACTATTCAAGTTATTTCAGTTCGATCTGATCATTTGATTTCAGCGCAGTCACCGAGAGGAACAAGGTCAATTTTTGACTTTCGAATGATTTCCAAGGTAATCGAAAATTTGTTTCGCTAAAAGTGTATGAGAATCACGTGATGTAGAACATTGATTAGCATTTAAGCTTTGTACTTTACATCTCATTTCAATCAGTAAATGATTTTCAAAAGGAAAGGTCTAGTATAAGTTGCTGACCCGAAATTAAACAAGCCTTAAGCTAACCTGTAGCCAACGGCCCGCCACAGAAGTAAGTAAAATATGATTGTTAAATTATGTTTAGAGCTATTTTGGAGTCAAATCATTATATGAGAATTTAGTTATACATAGATACAAACGGTTTTGTATTGTCCTTTTTTCAGATCGAATAATTGCAATATCGTCAATAAATAACAATCAAATTATACGATTTGTGGGGGATCACTTCGTCGGCATTACTTCCTACGCGGAACAAAACTAACTTCGCAAGTAAGCTGAAGTTAAAGCATTTACAAGACAGTGTCGGAAACATAGAGACGCTCCCACGCGAGAACAAGAATTTCTTCGCCTTTGAAACCAGATATTTCGTTTTGTTTGTACAGTGACAGTTGATTGATTAAATTAGTGATTCTCATATTACCTACATGTAAAGAAGCGATTACACATTAGACACACAATAAACAATTTGGAATTACGCCTACGCTTGGTTTATTATAACGAGATGCTATTTTCCTATGACGTTATTGGTTATTAATTAGTCAGTTAGAATCTAAGAAGTCTTACGACTGTACACATATGTAGGTTTTAAAGTATTAACTTTGTAATTAATATCTGTTTTAGGCTAACACAACTCCTGAAGCTATTAAGCTTTAATCTCAGTAGTGTTAAATAAAAGGTTTTATTTCAATACTTTCTTTTGAAACCGAGCCAGAGCGCTATACTTTTAAGCATAGAGTTAAAACTTAAATGCAAAGGATGAACCGACTTTTTAACTGAAGGTCAGAAAGTATTTTTCATTTGATCACGTAACCAGGACAGATTTTTAAAATTATTAAATTTCCCTGGACACTCAAAGTTCGTTATTGAACAGTTTTAACTTGTGTCAGTGGAAAGCTTCAGGTCAAAATCTTCTTAAACAAGAGAAGATAGAGATCCAAAGGGTACAGAGCAGTCTGCTTCAAGTTTTCTGAAAGCAGTCATTAAAGTGAAAGTTACTCCAAACGTTCTAAGGGCTCCTTTTGCAGAATCTTAATTTTTTTCCGCTGAAATTAAAGTAAACTGCTAAGGGATTTTCGCAAGAAAGTAGCAAAACACTGGTTTGGTAACTGCTGACTTTGTCATTGAGTGGCGGCCAAAAATATAGGATATAAGCCAGGAGTTCACAAGATGTTGTGAAATGCTTCTCAAAACAATCAGCAGGATGCTTTTCTTCAGGTGAAATTCGATCCGATCATTAACAGAACAATGAACAATGAACAATGAAGTGTGTTGCCAGTTCTTCTCTTCCGGCAGCCCAGGAACACATGTTTGCAAATTTCTTGCCACTTGAACTTGAAAATTATATCAAAAGAAAATACTCAGGAAGACGGGAAAATACCCACACACTTTGAAAGGTCGACTGATATTTGGTGATTGACATTGTACAGAATCACGTTTGAAATATATATCCCATGAAATCAACGGAAGAGCGTACCTCGCCCGCGAAGGTCTAGAGTAACCTTAGATACACCACTTCTTCTCCCCGATCAAAATGCAAGAAACTGTTTATTTTGTTCATCGGCGACATGATCTTACTCGTAAAAATGAATTTGTACGTTACTCATCGAACTGATCTAGGTTAGACTAACATTTTTCAAGCCGGATTATAAAGTCGATTGAACTTTGTTTGCACAATTGCAGAATTTCGCGAAGTTCATGTTGAAGAGCCCCAACCTTACCTGGCACTCAAACTAGAGACTGGCCCAAGACAGACGAGAGTGTAGAGCTTTCGTTGCTGTCCTACATCTCAGGAGGCATAATGGGAAAGATAGATGTTGTGATATGATGGATTTAGCTGGTTTACTGATTTGATGAAAAGATGCTAATGATAATTCTTTTGAGGTCGACGATAACTCAAATGGCGTGGATAACAAAAAAAAAATATTTGAATGCCGGCCAGCATAGAAACTGGAAACTTCCTGAATGCTTTAGAAAAGGATTTCCTGGCCTCAGATTTGGAGCAATTGACAATCCATGCTGATGATGTACACAAGAAGAAAAGTCTCTCCAAACTTCCAATTATTTCAAATTTAATTGAACTGATAAGCCATACTTGTTAAAACTGGCGTTCACTAAACTTTCCTCTAATCGCTCTACCGTGACTCGTAATCTTTAAAGCGGTACATGTCCGAACAGGTATTTAGCAACCTTAACATAATAGAGCGCTATGTTTTCACAAGACTGACATTTTTGGCTTTGGTTCATGAAAAAAAAAACATGCCAAAAAAAACATACGACATTTCTTTATCAAGCGTTGTGCAATTACTCAATGACAATTAGCACGATTTTTCAGAGTTCAGGTCATTCCACTAATGTTTGTAAGTAGTGGGACGTTCTAATGTTTCCGCGTCTTTCAGATAAACCTCATCAAAATTGGTTAATCTGAACCTATTCCACCACTTAGTAAGCGCTTTGTCTGATGAATAAAACTTTTCACTTGGGCGTAGATTTGTGCAAACACAACACAGATTACAAGTGTGTCCCCAAGCTCACCTCAGTGAACAGAGCTTAGTTTTAGTGCAGAAGAAGGCGAGCAGAACAAGAAGAAGAATGGTGTTTAACCCGTTATTTCATTCGTGCTTTTTGATAGCACCTGTCTCGCCCCTCCCGCTTGCCTCATGCTACCCCTTACCCGCTAAAACGGAGATAAATTACGTCTTCTCTGCAGACTAGTTTATCGAGCGAGAAATTTGAAAAGTCGCACACACTGACGGGAGGTCGGAAGCGATACTCTTACACGTTTCATCGTAATGAAACGAGCATAAGCTTCGGCTGCAAGGAAGCGTTACACTCGTGTGACATTTGAAAGGCTATAAAGAAGTTTTTGCCACTCTTACTTTGTAGCGCAGCGAAGTACTCTGAGGATTCCCACTAATTGCCCCTCAGCCAACGGAATGTTCCTTTATGATAGTTTGTATGGAAACTAACATCTACTTGCTAAGGTAGACCCAGCCATACCTTATTAGTCTGGATTGTTCCACCCGTTTTGGCCTAAATAAACGCTTTAGCTTAAAATTACGCTTTGGCAACGTTTACCAGCACTGTTTACAACCGGATAATCATATGCACAAGGAAAATATTTGGCTCGAGGTCAGGGCGTACAAACCGAGTTCAGAGAGGTCCGTGCGTCATGAACGAGAGTCAAGTATTTTCCCATCCGGCCTTCCCAGTGCATATGATTATCCGTTATAACTTGGCTAACCCAACTCATTCAATAAGTATTTTATCATGTGACCACTGATTAAAAATTCGAAAAGTTTGTTTAGCTTAAATAGGACGCGATAGACTAGCGCGCACGAGAAAAACCATCGGAAAAAAAATTACAACAAAAAATTTTCATTCATCTTTTTCGAGTCAGAACAACAAAATCATAATTTATTGTTTATCTTACCCCTCACCATTGAAGACCTTCGTTCGTGGGTTCTGTTCCTCAACTAAGTGACTTAAAGGCCTGTAAGTGAGATTGACCAATTTTTCAGTAGTTGACACAGATAAGCAATTATTGAGCAACATTTTGCTGTCTTATCAGTCAACTGAGCTAAAAGTTTAGGCGATGAAAACTGCTCCCTTATTGGCGGGGAGTAGCAACAAAATTCCTGAAATGACGTGCTGAAACATGGAACCTACCTGTTAAATGTCGCACGCAACATTAATTAAAGGCATAGGCTATTTGCAGCAGTTCACTGCATCTAATATGAATATTTCCTCTGTTACTTCGTTTATCCTCACTTCAAAGTCACATGGAATATTTACAGTTCTTAGGCCTGTAGGCGTAGGTTCCTACAGATGCCAAAGGTTGAAATTCAAGGACTTTTCAATGACTTTGTCAGCCAAATGTTAGAAAATTGAAGGACCACTTTTGGAAAGGTTTGCTGAAGCAATTTTAAAACTATTTAATATTATTTCTCAGCTTTTCCATGTAGGTACTGTAATTTTCAACTTGAAAATCGCTAAAGAAAGAGCATTGCAAAAATCAAGCCATCAGTCCTCAAATTCAAGTACTGTTAAGGCATTGAATTTTTTATTTTTACATTCAAGCATCTTCACGGACTTTCAAGGCTTTTATGAACTCTAAGTAGGTAATGTATTTGCCTTTAACTGCAAGGAGAGGGGAATTTTTTATCTATTATAGGTACTGGTTCATAGTTTGTTGCCAAATGTTCACCCAAGGGGAGTTTTCTGAAATCAGTAGATTGAAGCAATATTACTGTTCAATAATTCATATTACGTATGATGCATGATTCTCGCATTAGAGAGCGCTATTTAGGCAATAGATAGATAAATACTTTATCATAAACACCTTGCAGCCATAGGCTGAATTACGGAATATTTACAAATACAGATGATAAAAAAAGGAGGTATAAAATATTACAACTTCGTCGTTAAGAAAGAAGGAAAATTATCTACATCTTATAAATATGGCTAAAAATAAAACTGTTCTTCAAGCGCTCGGTTTTGCATATGGGGAGAGTGAAATCACTTTTGCGCCTCAGTGCGTATCTACAACTCTTCCTTTGGGGGAGGAGGCTGTGGAGTCTATGGGTGGGGTTACGGACTATCTCGTCAAACAGATTGGTTGAAATTTTTTCCCTCCTCTCGTGAAGTTTCGGTAGGCCAGCTGTTTCTAGTGCTACACTATATGACAGGTCAGGATAGATGATTCTGAGTGCAGAAG